GTAAGAAAACAAGTTTTGCACCTTTGACTGAATCATGTAACGATGTAGTTGATAGATCAAGCAACAGACATTCAATGCAAAACATCACATAACTGTGTCAGGATGCTCTTCCCCTGGGCACTGCAGCTATGACAGGAGTAACATTTAGGAGTAACGTTACGTTTCTGCCTCTTACTGACAACATAATAATTCATTGGAATGATGGTAGTAAAATGGACTGTTTCACATTTGACTGAATGCTAACAGTGCTCTCATTTACTCTCCCATCCCCCAGTCCCTCCACTTCAGAAAGGGTTTAAATGTTCAGCAATAAGATTAAAAAAGCTTCTAGGGTGGCTTGCAATTGTGCTATCATGTTASCTTTTTATTTTTAGTAGTACCCTTCAAATTGTGCTCACATTAATGTAATAAAATTAACACTAATTAGGCAATAACAAGTGAGACTTAGAGCACATTACAGGGATTAAGAACCAGATGAGAGGAAGGACAGCACAAAGTCAACCTGAGGCCAGAATAATCTCAGTTAGTTATTCATTGTTCCAGGAAATACCTCACAYGGAGATCTCTGCTGCTATTAGAACCTGCTTGGAATTTTATTCAGAAAGAAAATAAACTTCTTCCTCATGTGGCTTCAAATCCCTCCAGGTGCTACCAAAACAGCACTACTGCTGCTGGTAGACTTTTCTAGAAAATCTATCCTCAGAGAAGGATCAAATCCTTCTCCCTTTGCCTCTCCCACATGCACACACACCCATCACCCATACTGAGCTTTTGCAACCTTCTGCATTTGGGCKAAAATGCATCACGCTTTTAGGCCCTTAGAGAAGGGTGAAAGCAGGGATGCACAGCCAAGTACTTAGGCGGGGTCTCCATTCCAATTGTTAAGAAAAGCTAACACCCACACCAATAGAAAGAAAGCGTAAGAGAAAACTTGAGAAAATACTACCTTCATGAACTGGGGAGGCCAGCAATCACATTTGTTCTCCTCGGAAAACTGGAACTGATTAAAGAGCTGACAGCAGTTACCTAAGTGCATGCAGTTAGCAGTGCTTACACTGGTTAAAGGAATACAACTGGTTTGTTACTTTACAGGTTAATTTTAAGCCTGCCAACTGAGTGACCTACATTTGCTGGTCAAAGCAACTATAAAAGGGGGCAAAAGAAATACCTTCAGAAGGGAAGCACTGTTGTGACGTTCAGTAATAACCTCTTCCTTTCCGTTGCTCACAGACCTAGAAATGTTCTATGTCTGCGAGAGGACCCTATGCATGGTGCAAAATGGCACACCAGACTTTCACGTCAGCTTTGGCATCAGAAGAAGGACCCCAGAGCTATTGCAGTGTGAGAAGTTGATGATTTTTGGATTATTTCCTCAGTGCAAATCTTTCCTCTCATTCCTCTTCCAAATACAAAAAGAGCTTTAGGCCCTTTCCTTATTAACATATTTCTTTAAACTTAACTATTTATATAAGCCTGCTTCACTTATTTCATTATTCTGGTGACAAATGGAAATTGTTCATTTCCCTAATAAGAACCACATATGCTGCTGCTCAGTGCAGCCCAAAGCACTTAGCATTCCCAGATGTGCACCCAGAAGTTTGGCCTCCATCAGGAAAACCCACTTGCAGAGAAGGAGGTGGTGGCCACTGCAGGCACTTTAGCAGCAGTCAGGGAGAGCTGAAACCAAAGCAAAAAAAAAAAGGGTCTGCATGGGTGATTCTCACACTCTAACTGATCCTACCTGGAGCCTAAGGCACCATGTGCATGTAAAATTGGAGCTTTGCCTCCTATATGACCAAAATAGAGAACTGGAAAAGGCAACATTTAACAAGTGCTGAGAAAAATCCATGAATGATGTGTCTTTGAGATTTGTTTTCTCTCATAAACTATTTGCTATCCTTTTGCAAGCCCTAATTACTTTTCCATATATGACTCTTTTTAAAGCTGCCTAACTGCTTTGAAATTTTTACATCATCCCTTGATATCTGTTTATTCTTATTGTACTTATTATTCTTAATGCTGCAGGCATTTTATCTGGGTGAAAACATGTAGGTACTGCCAATAAGAACTCAGATTTTTAACACTGAGAAGAGCTCCTTTCATTTCCAAGTAGATAACCCAAAGAAGCATCAGGGTTTTAGGTTTTTGTTTGTTTGTTTGTTTGTTTTTGTGCATTTCCATCCCTATTCCAGTGACTGATTTCATTATCAACTTGAATTATTGGGAGGAAAAAACAAACAAGCAAGCAAATAAACAAACATAAACACTTAAAGCACAATGATGAAAAGGAAAGGATTTAAACTTTCTTCTTTAGTTAGGCTTCTTGCCATAGCTACCCTGTGTGGGTACCCTGGCTATAAAACAGTAACTAGGGACAGAGGAGCCATCTCCAGCTGTAGAARGTATGTAGAAATACTTATTGCTCTGTGCCCAAAGCCTTAACCTGTGCAATATCTCAAGCGATTCTTTCTCAGGTTACATACCACAATAAAACCCCAATATTCAAACTTACATTTCTTTCTCCTCAAAAAAACATAACTAATTTCTTTGTGACGTTTCTGAATTAAGTCTTCTTTTCACCTTCACCAACGTTTAAATTGTCTAACTATATCTTTACAAGATTGCTTTTTCCATTCTTGTATCAGTAAACCTCTATCATCCTAAATCCATGAAACTATACAGAATTCACATTTCCCATTTTTTTCTGCCCTCCTGGTCAGTAGCCTGGAAGTAGCTAGAAAACTTTTATACTTGCTGCTAAAGGATACAAATATGTTTTGCTGCTTTAAAGGACTTCCACTGCTGTCAAAATGTGTTTGCCTTGGAAGCTATCCAATTTTATCTTACCATGCTGTCAAATGCAAACTCATCTCGGTCACAAACCTTAATTCTATTGTTTTATGGAAGCCTCGTAAAACTAGAGCTTTTATATCAAGTCTCATACTGTAGGCAGGAATATTCACAGAAGTTTCCACTGACTGTATACACTAGGAAAACGGAAATAGCATCAAACTATTTTTTTTCTGAATAGCTTTAGTAACACCCATTTTTGAACACTGAATTCTACAGTATTCTACAATATTCTACAGTATAAAAATCATAGCTATAGTAGCTTACATTTGGAGTTAAGCTGTACATATAGCTGATAGGTACAGTAATTACCTTTGTAAAAATGATCTGGACTTTAACAAGCCTAATAAGTTCTCCTTAATTTTACATGCTAATACATCTTATTCTCAAGTGACCTTTTTTGTCTTCATTCTGTTTTTACAATTACTATTAAAGCATCTGAAAGTTATGCAATACAACAAGCTCTTAAGCCACCAGGGGCCTCCTAACGCAAGATGGAAATTACTCATTACATAAATAGGCTTCATACTTCAAGTTGACCTTAAATCCATAGTCTTTTGCCAAGGGAGCAAGGGGGAAATCTACGGTGATGCAGTGGTTTGCACTGTGCTTATGTCATATAAACTGTCAAAAGCAAAAGGACCTCTGCCACATTGGAAAGCAGAGACACAATAGGCAATCTTTTTAATATTGCATATTGCAAGACTCCTACCAATGTAACTTCTCTTCTGCACCACATCAGTATTATTTTTTGTTCTTGTCCTTGTTTTCCAGCCCTTAACTGCAGCAGTTGCTTCATGCAGTGCCAGTCCCCTCTGCAGAGGCCACCAGAGCAGCGTGGCGGGGCCTGGGGCAGGGAGGCCAGCGGTGCCAGCGGCAGTGCCAGCAGCCGGCAGCGCAGAGCTGGGATTTCCCGGGAGGCCGGAGGTGCCAAGGGGCTGCACAGGCCGCCTCTGCATGACTCCACTGACAGCTCGAGGCCAAGCTTCCAGCGCAGTCATAACTCAGCTATGTACTACAGCGCCCAGCTCTTACTCCACACAGTTGAGAAGGAAAACATCACAGTAAATGACTGAGTAGGAAAGCAGAAAAAGAAAATACACTTGCCGCAATGTAGTCATGTTGACAATACTACTAAAAATCTGCCTCTGCCAGTCTCTGAATTTTTATAAAGTAATCAGTGCAATGTTAAAGTTATATCCAAAAGTTCTAAACTATCCAACTCTAAGGGTTTGAAAAAAAGGGAAAAGGAACCGTAATGAAAGGAAATTGCCAATACCTAGAAAGATCAACATTTGAACAGCTTGCCCCAAGCACCCTTTTTAAGTTTATGCTTCACTGCCACAAGCAGGAGGAGAACAGATTAATTCTAATTTTCAAAGGTTCTTTAGGATGGAGAGAGTTTCCTGAGAGGCTTAGAGCAGCAATGGAGAGTCATGCTGTCTTGGTACTTGCCTCCAAATAACCTTTTCCCCRTCCTCTGATTTGGGTCAGTTAGATGAGAGAATTACGGTTGACCAATTTTGATGAATAATCTTAAAGAAATAAATGGCAACTTTCGCTGTTGTTTTAAAAACTCCCCTCAGAAAAATCACTCCAAACATCTTCCAAAAGAGGACTGAGAGGGGAAGCACTAGAAAATTTCCATCTGCTGAAATAAATGAAGAAAATAAATCTAAAAAACGCTGACTCTGGGCTTGTGTGCCATTCTTTAGATACATGGTTCATAACAGGAATAAAATGCAGACACTGTACCTCTTTTCTGGCTTGGGGTTGTGCCTCTGGGACTGAGAATGCCTGCTGCCTCTTAATGCTCCTCTGCTCAGCTGGCTGTTATTGTGGCCTCCCAAAGAAAGGGGCGCCCGGAGGCCAGCCCACGGCTGCTCCTCGTTCCGGTGAAGCGGCACAGACGTCCGGATGGCGGAAATGACATGGCCAGGGTACGCGGTCAGTGTGTCTTCCCGATGGCGCGAGCTCGCATGAGCGAGAGTTCTCTCTGAGGCTGGGTACTGCCGCCCGGGCCTGCGGAAGCCCCTCTCCTGGTAGTAGGCAGGGAGGCAGGGCCGCGTCTGCTCCATGACGCCCCCGCTGCAGCTCCGCGAGCAGGCCGACCAGGGGCCCCAGCTGCCCCACATGCCTGGGATGCCGCCACCGCCATCTTCAGATGCATCTTGTTGCTCCTCTATCCTCTGGGGCACCTGCAGACATAACTGGCTGAATTAGGAACTGCAATTCATGTTGTAATACAAGCACAGCACTAATATCTCTGCAAGTCATTCGCTCTCTGGTCACAGCAAGTGAAACAGAGCTATGCACCAAGTGGCTTCTCATTCCCTCTCCCATGACTGCCTAGCCTGCTGGTAAAGGAGAATCTCCTAGAACCATCAGCCCTTCAAACCGAGACCTACATTTGGACTGTCTAGATAGGATTTCCTCAGCATGGAAAACACTGCTCAGTGCAAAAGCTAGAAATTCAGAAATGGGAAACTATTACTTCAAACATAGTTAGGAGGTAAAGTCATTTTTAATGATGATTTAGGTGAAGAGACACTGGCGGCTCCTCCACTCTAATGCCTGAACGATGGAAACTGCTTGCGGCAAACACTGACTCCAAATGGTATTTCAGGAACTCCCACATAAGGTGGAACTTCTAAGTGAACAGCCTGATTTCCAACACACCAAAAACACTGCAGCAATCAACTCCCACACTATCCCTGATTTTCCCCCCTTAGTGCTCTTCCAAAATTATTTCAAGGAAAGAACTACCAAAGACGACATACCTGATCCTTCATATTCACAGAAAACACTCTTAAATTCATTAAYAGTAAGACAGGGTGAGTTATTAGTCTTGCATTTTTAATACCACTTAGTCCAGACTCATCATTTAGCAGGACAGGGAAAGAAAGAGTCTTAGGGGATAGTCTTTCTAAGCTTCCTGCACTCAATGTGGCTAGAAGGGATGTCGCTGAAAYGCAGGGACTACGGCTCTAAAGGGAGGTAGCCCCTTACACATATTTAAGGGTTCTGACTTTCTAGCTGGCAGCATCAAGGCAAGCTGGAAGTAGCAGCCATCCATCCCCACGTCCTGGGGACTGCTGCCCTAAGCTCCAGCCATTCCTGGAGCAGGCTGCAGCCAGGATTTTGCAGCATTTCACACTGGGCAGAGTGCTGGAATTCGCAGCACACAAATCTGAGCCTCTTAATTAAATGTAGCTCTTCTGTTGTTCTGTTTTTCCAACTGGATGAATCATTAGTCAAAGCAGGCTTCTCAAACCCAATTCTCATGGCTCTTAACAGGCAGTATTCTTTTACACAAACATCCTTTAATAGCTTCATGAAATTGTACTCTGAGTAACCTTTGTACCAACACACATACATATCAATTATGAGTTATAAAGGGATTAAGTGAGATTAAATCCACAACCATTTGCTTACCATACCTGTCCAGCCCTGCTCTAATGCCTCAGAAGGAGCTCTGGAAAGCCAGTCTCGTCCCTGCGTGCTGCTTCTGCMCCTCCAAAGGATGGTCTCCTGCCCAGGGAACCAGCTGGAGTCGCAGGTGACAGGAGCAGCCGCCAGCTGAGCGGCGAAGCACCTGAGCACCCCAGCTGCTCAGCCAGCTGCAAACACGGGAGGCTTTGGTGGAATGTGGTTTGCAAACACGGYTTGAACGCACCGTTACAAGATGAAAACGTGAGCCAGAGCAGAGGTTGTGGTGTTGCTGTGTAATAGTCAGTTGTGGTCTATATAATTTAAAACATTTCCCCCCTCTGAGGTTGCTCTTACTCTTTCATCACCAACCACAGAAAAAACTGCATTTAATTATAGCTAGTGAATAATAAAAAGCATCTGCATTAATGTGACATTTTCCCAGTTTCTGCAATGTTGTTTCAAAAACAGGAGCAGATGTCTCTGTATTTCATATGCCCTTTTTCTGTGGGTAGCCCATTTGGCATCAGCCTTTTAAATTCAATAGCCTGTACAACCTAATAACCACATAATGTCAAAATTATGAATAACATGCAACAAGGTATTGGYTTCTGGCTGTTATATTTGCATTCATATCCAATAAGAGGATACCACTGGCTSAGAATATTACCAARTAAACGAGTGGTTCTTCACTTTGCRATTTCTCACTGAACACTCACTGCTCATACACAAACTGTAAGTTAATCTCTGCCACAGATACAAAATAATAGTTGTTATTCAAAATATTCATTCATTATGTTTCTTCTGGTYTGAAACCAGTTTGCAGTAAAATTCACTTTAAAAAGTACAAGTCTATTATTAACAGAAAGATCAGGTTTCATTTTCCTGGACTATTTTATAATGGTTTTTTTTGATGGCTTGGTGTCTCTCTTTTTTTTTTTTCTCCTTTTAAAAGCCAAGGTATTCTTAGAGACAACTTAAAATCTCTTAGCCTGCCAGTAACTGAAATCACTACTGAACTAAGAACTGTTTCCCTATATAGAAACAGAAACTGATATAATAGCGACAAGTGTTGACCTGCTGTAGAGAGAGCCTCCTGGCTATCAAACTTAAATGTAGCATGAATTGTTTTAGATCAAATTGTACTTCTAATGACTGAAGGCAATGTAACTTCATGCACCTTAATCTTCACAGCAAAATACTTCTCAACAGAGCACAGCACAGTTTAATATAGCTATTCAAATCAGAACACAATAAGGGGATCAAACTCATAATTACTTAGATGCAAGATGATAAAATGGARGCAAGGGTTTTTCAGGAGCAAACGACTCAGGCTATGCACTTTTTAAAGTCAGATCTCAGCTCTGGGCAATTTAAGAAAGATAAAAACTATTCAACAGAAAGGCAAGTGAAGCATGGGAATAGATTGCCCGRGGAGATTCTGGGACCTCCGTCAGAAGATGGATGGCAAATATCCATCAGGAACAAGAAGGTACCCTTCCCTCAGGCAAGAGAGGTGAACTACAGCACCCAGAGGTCACTTCCAGTCCTTTTGTTCTAAGACTTTCAAGTTACTCTGTGGCTATTAAGGAATTCTCACACAGCCCTAAGACATACTTCCCCAAAGCTAAAGGGATAACAGGAGCAATCCAAAACACTCAGGTTGTAAACAGGCTGATTTTCACAAAAGAGCTAGGTATTCAGAGAATGCCCACTCTAGGTCCCACCTAGTCTCCCTTTAAAACTTATTCCTTAAATATGGGAGCTATAAAGAAAAYCTTGCACCTTACCAAATTAAATCACAGAAGCAATTCACGTCACAGAACCTCTCAGTCAGCAAAAGGGGGAGATCCATTAAGAGACATTCCCACGTGTTATTATTGATTCCTCCTGCAGATCACCTAGTAATACTCATTCTAACTAAAAATGCCCTATCAAAAAGGTTTCTATCTACTGCAAGTGAATCAGTAATCTATATCTTGCTCTACAAATTCAATCTATTTTCTTCCTCTTACTTCCATCCTCTGATTTTATTCTTTTCTTTTTTTGTCTAGATTTTTTTCCAGTCTGGCAGAACAAGAATTGTAAATTGAGGCAACACATTTTGCCAGGTGCAGCTGTGCAGTAAACTAACACGGCAGGCAGAGTTAAGAGGAGCTTTCACGTGCACAAACACTTGCAGTTCCTACGTCTGCATTAGTCTCAAGTTGCTACAAAGATTTTCTAATTTGTAGCAACTTGAGCAAAAGCAACCTTTTTAATCTTATTTCATTGTATTTTAGCTTTTTATTTCTCTTTTTCTTGGAACAAGCACTCTACTCCATTCTAGTTCCTGTTTACTAATTTATCAGCCAAAACCTATAACAATCGTGTCGGTTGATGGTGGATGTTGTTGTAACAAAGATCTTGTGCTGGTGAATAAAAAAAAGCCCAACTAACTAAAACCCTCTGGGTTACTGCACTGTCCCTTCTAATGGCAGACAGTGCGACACCGAGCCTTGCAGCCTTCCCTGTGGAATGTGTCAGTTACTTGTATGACAGCAGTTGACTGATGTACTTTGCATGTACTCAGAAGAGACACTAAATTTATCTGGAGCTAAGTTTCTGGCATCATGCAAAGCTGTTAGTTCACTGCAAGATCCACTAAATTCACCTAGTTTTACACTATTACTTTTCATATCATCATCGATTCAGTTTGCTTATTTCTCTAGCCTTTCTCACTAATTGCCCTTGTACAATTTAAAAAACTACTTGTAGATACCAAACAACTTAGCATGAAAGTATTCTTGCAAGAACTTCCTCTGCTGACAAGTCGTGATTTTTCTCCTGTCAAATATGAAAATATTTGCATTACACAGAAGCTCTTCAATGTTCAGTAATGCTCATTACTCCAACAGGATAGAAGAAAGAAAGGTGTAAAGTGTGACAGGACACTAAGTGGAAACTTTACACTCAGATGCTTAGAAACCTGTCTACCTGGGCTTATTAAAATATATATCTTCCTAATCATTATAGTTACCAGTTAGCATCTGCAGAAAACATCTAGAATGACAAAAATTCAGAATTCTCACTTCCACTCTCTGACTCATTGGATAATAAAGTTACAAATAATACACAAATAATACTTTTAATTCATTTAAATTTACACAATTTACACAGACTATATGGGAGGAATGAATGAAGCTGATATATTCTTTACATATTTCTAAATTTTAAAGAGTTCAGAAATCTAAGATTATTCTATAGAATCAGTAGCTTTTAGATAGACTAATTCTTGTTAGATCTCTGCCTAATACAGTATTTGTTTAATATTTGTCATTTGTGTAGCTAGAGTTCTCTATGAGAAGTTTTGAGCTTTTCCCCACTATATGACAGGCTTAGATCTTATTAAATGAAATATGACAGCATGCTTGCATTTAAAATATGCTATGCATTTCAAATAGAAAAACACTTCCTCTGGGATTCATACAATACAGCAAACACGTATGATCACCCTGATCCTAAATCAAGAATTCCAGTAGACCAGATATTGAAATACAATGCATATTTCTAGTACCACCTCCATCAGACAAGTTAGAAATAACACCCACATCTCGAGATAYAAGCAGCGGTTGTTGAAGTTAAACTATGTGAGAACGTCCCTGAAGAGGAAATATCACTTGAACTGCAAGCCACAAATATTTCACAGAATCACAGAATATTCAAGGTTGGAAGGGACCTCTAGAGATCATCTAGTCCAACCTTCCTGCTCAAGCAGGCACACCTACAG